ACCTTCTGACAATGGGGGAAGCCAGATTCACTTAACAACGGTGTTACTAACTTAACAATGATTCACTTAACAACAGTGGCAAGAAAGGTCGTAAAATGGGGCAAAACTCACTTAAATGTCTCGGTTAGCAACAGAAATTTTGAGCTAAATTGTGGTCGTAAATCAAGATTACTTGCAGAAATCTTAACTAAAGGAAAATCGTAAATAGAAGAAGAAAAGGTTTAGATTCCAATCTTCTTAACAGTGATTAATATTTTAAATCATAAGTGGGTTTTTTTTTTCTTCCTTCAGCAAAAAGCCCATAAGGGGCTTTCGATCGCTAATGAATGAAATTATTTTCCTTTCCCTAATCAGACAAATCAATTTTCCCATCCAGAGCCTTTCCAACGTTTGTGCATATAACAATGTTACAGCAGTTATTATATACAAAAATAATGTTCTGCAGCTCTTTTCTCATTGACTCTCCATTACGTCCAGCAAACAAAAAACAAAAAAAAACACACCCCTTTCTGTTGAATGTTGATGTTTAAAAATCTTTATATCGCTGTATTTATTTGAACCCCAAATTTCCTGGCTGTTTTTTTTTTTAAGTCCGGAAGCTAAACATCTCAGGTAGATGTTTAGGTAGGTATCCAGACCTACCTTTGCCAACCAGGGAGAGAGCACGGTTTTCGGTTCTGAAGGATCCCTTGCCCTGGCTCATAGGCCGGCCAGGTGGACAAATGGCTGCTACTTGAATGTACCTAAGGAGGATGAAAATAAGCCAGTTGCTTTCCTTACCATAAAATCACTATGAAGCGGTATATAAGTCTAAGGGCTATGGCTGTCTTCTTTCAGTGGCAGAATCTTTCTTTCAACATTGGCAACAGGACATTGTTTTCCATTGTACCTCAAAGACAACAGATTAAGGGAGGGTGGATAGAATGGTCCACTTTAGTGTTTCTCAACCTCATCTCAACCTAGTGCCTCTTAGCTTTAAGATGTGTAATGTGGACATCAACTCTCAGAATTCCTCAGCCAGTCACGTTGGACGGGATATTCTGAGAGCTGAAGTCCACGCATCTTAAAGTTGATAAGGTTGAGAAAAACCGGTCTACTCCAACATTTGCTACTGCCTCCTGGCATATGCAGTTGAAAAGGGCACCCTCATTTTTTTTTATCATGGTAGAGGTTTTCCTGTATGATGCTCAAGATTACTAGGTGGTTTCCAAGACCTGAGTATCTGATGCCGAAACCTACTAGTTTAGGCCACAAAATTACACAAACAGATATTGTGGCACCGCAGAAAAACAATTACTACCAACTGCCTTCCATGGAGGACCTTTATACTGCATGAGTCAAAAAAGAGGGCTGTGAAAATATCTACACACCCCTCACATCCTGGACATAAACTGTTTCAACTCCTTCCCTCAAAACGACGCCATAGAGCCCTGCACACCAGAACAACTAGACACAAGGACAGTTTTTCCCCAAAAGCCATCACTCTGCTAAACAAATTATTCCCTCAATACTGTCCAACTATTTACTAAGTCTGCCCTACTATTACTATTATTCCCATCACTCCTTATCGCCCATCCCCTCCCACTTGTGACTGTATGTCTGTAACTTTGTCACTTGTATCCTTACGATCTATATTGACTGTTTCCTGGAATGATTTGATTGCTTATTGTACCCTATGACTATTATTAAGCGTTGTACCTGATGACTCTTGACGAATGTATCTTTTATTTTATGTATACTGAGAGCATTTGCACCAAGACAAATTCCTTGTGTGTCCAACCACACTTGGCCAATAAAGAATTCAATTCAATTCTATAAGATGGGCTGGCTGCGGCAGAGCTACTCACCACATATTTCTGTTTTTTCTGAGAGGAGATCTTCACAACAGGCAAGTTTTTACCAATTATACTTTGAGAAGATCGATGAAATGAGACCCTGCGGTACAACAAGAAACTGGAGCTGGAGAACTCAAGATCGAAGGGAGGCCGAGTTACACAGACTCTCCAATCCCAGTTCACACCACTCTTTTCACTGCCCAAATTCTCAGAAACAACTGATAGTCTACGACTTACAACAGTTTATTTCAGGGGTGTCCAACCTTGGCAACTTTAAGACTTGTGGACTTCAACTCCCAGAGTTCCTCAGCCAGC